AGCATCTTAGTGCTAGTAGGTTCCCAATGGGAAATTCCATTTGGACCAAGCAGCATCAAATTGGTGACTTAGAAACGACACTGTCAAGAAACACTATGGACAGAGGAAACATGCAAGAGGAGGAGAGTTTTGTGTCGGAGGTCGTGGATGAGTCTCCTCCGTCATCCATTTTTTATTTAGAGGAGGAAAGCGGGGATGAAGATGTTGTGGAAGAGGACGCCAGGGCAGCAGAAGCTTGGTTTGGTGTAGAAGGCTTACAGCCGTACATGTTTGAGCCCTTGCCTCGCAACGCTGCCAGTTCTGTTAGCTCTACGCCTGCTGAAGACACAGACGTCCATCCCCGTGAACACTGGGACAGAACTCAATAGCAAAGTAAATTATTCTTATTTCTTATTTCAACCGTTGCGTATATTAGCTGCGACACATGAATCAAGATGCTATGACTGAAAAAAATTGATTGACAAATGACCTCTGATAAATGATTGGCTGAATTTAGGTGAACAAGCTGACGTATAACAGCATGAGATAACTGAAAAAAAAAAACAAATACAGATTTTAAGACAGGATTTTTTCTTCAATAGAAATTACATTTACACAGTTATATACATGTTTAAGCCAGAATGATTTGTATGTGTGTGCTGGAGCAAGAAAACCTCTAAAACCTGGACAGCGGCCCTGGAGGATGCCTGATCTAAGATACGGAGCAAGCTAGGTAGCTCGCCACTTGGTCTTTGGAAATCTAATTCAGGTTTAACAACTTTTTACTTTTAACTTGTCAATTTGGGGGAAAAAAGCCCAGAATGTTCACAAACCAGGCTTTGAAGGAATTCTAAACTTCATTTCTAAAATCATTTCTAGTAAAAAAACAAAAATAAAGCTCATTTGGATCCCTTTTCATAGTGTTTTTTTTTTTTATCTTGCAAGGGTTTAAACAAGAATCTGACTTGTGTATTTAAACGTTAAGGTTTAGACCTCCTTCCTTTGGGCACAATTTGTTAGTAATGGTGGCAGTTCAATGTGACGACTGAGTGATTTCAGGTGTTTGGTGAAAGGCGGGCATGGTGATGTTGGCGCCCGTCCACAAGCTCAATTTATCTGTGGAGAGCGCGCCCTTGTAGACTTTTAACTTTACACAAAGATTTCACATGGAAAAAAAAAACAAGGCACTCCCGCATGCTGGATTTAGGTTTTATCTGAAGCCAAACACCCACACAGATTTTCACATTTGATTTGTTAAAACTAAAGATGAGACTGAATTATAGTCGAGGGAATTAAAGCTTGATATTTGAAGCCTTGGATGTTTAACAAGCAACACAAAAACTCTGAATTGTCTGTGAGTTTGTGGTTAAATACAAAGAGGGTGCTGTAAAGGGTTTCATGTAGCTATGAGGAAAGATTTTAGGTGTTTTAGCTTCCAGTTCAAACAGGAAGCAGATGTGCTTTACATTCTGATCACCAGGAAGTCAAAACAGGGTACGGATATTTTTTTTCTCATTCAGGACTTATTAGTTTTTGTTTCTGTCATCCCTTTCAGGACTTAATCGGTCAAGCCTGTGCAAACTTTTATATGAAAAAAAGTTGTGCTGAGCTGCAATTGCCCCCCAGCCAGGCATCTGTGACGCGACTGGTGAAATCTAAGGAGACCAGAGGATTCAGGGACTTGTTTCCAGACTTGGCGGATTAAAGTCCTGCTGCCTTTATGCGGGAAAGTTCAGCAGTTGGTTTCTTGGATGAAGACAAAGCAGGAAAATCTACTTTTCATTGCTTCTTTCCTCTGATCTTGTACAACTCATGGTAATTTAAATGCCAATATTTTTATTGCATGTGTTGCACCCTTAAAAAGAACTAAGAAAAGCACATAGTTTTTCCCTTTTGTGCAACTTTATTAAACTAAATCCACGGTTCAAGCATACAGCATATATAGTTTTTTTCCTCCTTTTTAACATATACACAGATCATGAACTTTCTTCTTCCCATCATGCATCGTGTCCTCTTAAAGGGGTATTGTAATTACAGAAATATATGAAATACAAATAAAAAATAAAAGAAAGTAGTTTGAGCACATATTTTGTCATAAACCAAATGAATTTTACTAACTCAATAATGAATCAAATAAATGCTTGCCCAATATGATAATTTTAACTTTATTATGTTCTACACTATTCTATTTCTAGGGCTCTACACCCTCCCCTACTAAAATAATAAAATGTTTTCAAAACATTTTTACACTTTAGAACTTAAAGTATATATCCTTACCACTAGCTTCTAACATTGCACTCATCCAGGTACCATTTAGTTACATGTCGCTCCTCAAAAAACAATAACAAATACTACACATTAAATGACTACAAATGCATGTATACAAGATAAGCACATTTACTTATATTCCTGTTTCGGTGTATTAACTTAAATAATTGGTACATTGGTAGGCCTCCCAAGTCCATTAAGTCACATATGGCTAAATCTACCATTCCACCTTATTAAATGTATCCACATTAAACATACACTGACTGTAGTACGACTTCTTACAGACTGCTTTTGTGTTGTCTTCAGAAACACCTTCTTCCTTCTGTTCATACATCTTAACGTTTAAGTGTAGCTGTAGTCACTAGAAATACACTTCTGCAAACTGACTCTTACTTGTAACTGAATGTTTTGTACCAAACAAATAACAGAATTTTTTTTTTAATTAACTTTAGTTGTAACTGGAACTATATAGGGTTAAAAATATAACTCCTATTTCTTCAAATATATGAAAGTAGGTTTCCCTAACTCATCATATGTAAAGATGGATTTTGGTTGACGTGTTCTTGAGGAACGTCGCTCCTGTTCCACCTCCTGATTATCCTCAGAAGAGGCACTGAGTTCAAACGCTTGATCTTCAGTATCCCTGTCCGGATTTTGACTTGGGTCTTGGTTCTGCATGTCTCCTTCCTCATCTCTCTCGTCCACTTGATTCCTAACGTCAGCAGAATCGTTCTCTTCCTGAAACTGGCTTTGTCTTTGTACAAGGCTCCTAGTTTGGGTTTCTTCTACAGGTTGGCTTGATCTGGACTGAAAGACTGGGGCTTTTGGGTTGAGACTAGTAGTCGGGCTTTAATCGGCAATCCACACAGAATACTCATCCTCACTACAACTTTCAGAATCCTCGTGAACTTGGTCTCTGGTTTGGCGTGTTTGTCTGTTTACTTGTCTCTTTTGGTTGTGTTTTTCCTTTGGTTCTTTAATGTCTTGTCCGTCAATAAGATAAGGACAAGGTAGTAAGACATTCCTATGAAGGATTCTCTCCCTCCCTTCACCATCCAATGGTGTCACCACATAAACTGGACTGTCTTGCCCTCTTCTTTCTTTTATAACATGCGTTTTGTTTTCCCAGTAAGCACGTATTTTTCCAGGTCCTCCTCTTTCAGATAGGTTTTGGACAAGAACGTGGTCGCCAGGTTGAAGTTCTGATCTCCAGGCTTTTCTATTGTAATACTTTTGTCCTCTCTTACTTGCTTTTCTCATGTTTGCTTGTGCAATGCTGTAAGCTTCTTGCATTGACCTTTGCCATTTGTCTGCATAGTCTTGATGAGACTGTGACTGATTTTGCTCTTTTGGAAACAATAAGTCTATAGGTAGGATTGGTTCTTTCCCAAATAACAGAAAGAAAGGTGAAAAACCAGTTGATTCATGCACTGTAGAGTTATATGCATGTACTACTTTGTTCAAGTAGTCTTTCCAGTTAGGTTTCTGCGTTTCTTCCAGTGTTCTGAGCATGCTTAACAAAGTTCTGTTAAAACGTTCAGCTGGGTTAGACTGAGGATGATAAGGTGTTGTCCTTGAATGTTGTATCCCACTGTAACTTTGCAACTTTCTGAACAACTCATTCTCGAATTCCCTTCCCTGATCATGGTGGATTCGAGCAGGGTATCCGAATCGTAGAATAAAGTCGTCAAAGATTTTGCGTGCAGCTGTCTTTCCAGATTTGTTAGGTGTTGCATAAGCCTGTGCAAACTTAGTAAAATGATCTACTATTACAAGAATATACTCTACTCCACCCTTACTTCTCTCTAGATGCAGATAATCGATTGAAATTAGTTCAAAAGGTGCAGAGGTTGTAATAGTTTGTAGTGGGGTTTTAGTTTTTCGGTTGGGTTTCTTTTGTTTTAAACAGCGGCAGACTCTTGTTACATAATGTTCAACTTCTTCTCGCATTTTCGGCCAAAAGAACCTCTCTCTGGCCAATGAGATCATTCTGTCCGCACCCAAATGACCCATTTCTTCATGGAGTTGCTGATAAATCAGTGCTTTGAGTTTAGCAGGAACTACAAGTTGATTTCTGGTTTTTGTCTTTCGTCGTAAAACTCCATCTTTGTCCATGTAAAGATGAGGCCATTCTCTCAAAAGTCGTTTTACTTCAGTTGGCTCTTTCACTTTGTCCCTGTATTTAACTTTCTCATTTTTCTGCTTTAATTTGATTACTCTTTGAATTACTTGATCTTCTTGTTGAGCAATTTGAATGTCTTGGATTGCTATTGGCTCAACTGGAGATGTACATGGAACAGTTAGTTGTGACAGTACATCCACATTGCACGTAACAGCTGAAATCCAGTCAGTATCACCACCTTGATCTGCTCTGAGTCCTTGTTGCAGTGCTGTTATGTCATCAGCTTTACATTCCTCTGTGCATGCTGACATTATTTTGTCCATTTCCGCAGGTTTGCGAGATAGAAAATCAGCATCTCGGTTGACTTTACCAGGTCTGTACTTCAGAGTAAAACGGAAATCAGCTAATTCTGAGACCCAGCGATGTCCTACGGCATTCAGTTTAGCACTTTTCATCACATATGTCAAGGGGTTGTTGTCACTGTACACTGTGAAGTGTGGAGCATGGAAAAGGTAATCTCGAAACCGCTCAGTGACAGCCCACTTCAGAGCTAAAAACTCAAGCTTCCCTGAATGAAGTTTGTAGTTTTTCTCAGCTGGAGTGAGTGTACGTGAACCATAGCCTATTACTCTTAATGCTCCATCCTGCCTTTGATAAAGGACAGCCCCAAGACCTTCCTCTGACGCATCCACCTGCAACACAAATGGTTTTTCAAGGTCTGGATAGGCCATTACTGGTGGATCTGATAAAGCGTCTACAAGTCTTTCAAGTGCCTCCTGCTGTAATGTTGTCCATTCCACTGACTGAGATGGTGGCAACTGTGAAGAACCTTTCTTTGAGGATTTGTTCTTTATCTTTGGATATGACAACAGATCATACAGTGGTTTTGCTATCCTTGAGAAGTCGGCTATGAATAATCTGTAGTAGCCTAAAAAACCTACAAGGGATCTTACTTCCCTGACTGTTTTAGGACATGACTTTTTCAAAGATTGTACAGCTTCTACTTCTTTTGGATTCATCCGGTATCCATCTTTTGAAACGACACGGCCAACATAACACACTTCTCTTTTAAAAAAATCACATTTGTTTGCTCTGAGTTTGATTCCACATTCTTTTTGTCTTTGTAAAACTTTTCTCACATTTTCCACATGCTGGTCAAAATCTTTGCTAAAAACTAAAACATCATCGAGGTAGGGCACACATATCTCATCCCTCAGATCTCCAAGACAACCCTCCATATACCTCTGAAAGGCAGCTGGGGCATTTGTTAGACCGAAGGGTATCCTCAGCCATTCATAAAGTCCCCATGGTGAGATGAAGGCAGTGCATGCTCGGCTCTCTGGACTAACAAAGCCTTGGTGGTAAGCTTTTCCTTGGTCTAGCACTGTAAACCAGGAATTTCCACCCAGATTTTCCAAAATTTCCTGAACTCTTGGAATGGGGTGTCTGTCGGGGTGTGTCTTTTCATTTAATTGTCTGTAGTCCACACAAAGTCGGATGGTAGAGTCTTTTTTCCTCACAATTACGATTGGTGATGAGTAAGATGAAGTTGACTCCTGTATCCACCCCTTACTGAGTAGATCTTGAATGTGCTTTTTCACTTCCTGATACAAATGACGAGGGATTGAATTATATGTTTTTGTCACTGGAATGCTGTCTTTGAGATGTATTTTCATCTGCAGATCAGGTATGCATCCTGTATCCCACTCATTTTGTGCAAAAACCTCACTTTCCTCTCTTAGCATTTTTCTCACTATTTCTTGCTGTTCCGCTGTTAAGTGTGAAACATCCACTGGTGGATCCCATGTTTGTTTCTCAGTTTTTCCTTCATTTTCTGGTGTCATTTTCATGTCTTTGGTGTGCATATGTCCAATTTCATTTTGTGGCCTTTTTGTGATTTCTTTTACATCTTGTATGTTATCCACTGGAAATAGCGAACCAATTATTGTCCTGTTTTGTAGTCTGATATTGTTGTCTGTGTTGTTTTCGACTACAACTGAAATTGTGGCTCCCTCATTAGCTGGTATGTGCATTAGCTGCTGCTGTATTTGTAATCCTTCTGGCCATGGTGTGCTTTCATTTGGTTCCAAAACTGCATATTGTCCCTTTAGCACATTTTTCTTGAATTTTCCACAGATTACTTTGAACATTTGACGTTTTGGGATAATAACATCTTGTCTCCCTAGCCTTACTGTTTGATTCTCCGAAATAGATTTCTCTTTACTTAACACAGAGAACACTGCTTTTGCTTTTTTGTGTCCTACATCTAATGCTGACCCAAGGCTGTGCAAAAACTTGTTGGGGAGAGTCCTATCTGTTGATATGTTGGACTTTGCAAGTTCTTCTATGACATTGAAACCCACTATTGGCTTGGCGATTGGCTGAGAGCTTACAAGAAATGGTACTAACAGTTCACTGTCTCTGTTTTCTGTAAGGCTAAACTCAACTCCTACCCAACCCTCATAAGGTATCTCAGTCCCATTTGCTGCAGAAAGATCTAACATACCTTCCTCAAGAAGTTCACTCACTGATCGAACGTCGGCGTCTGGTAGATGTTCTTTTTTCCAATTTAGATCCACAATTGACACTTGTGATCCGGTGTCCCAAAGAGCTGTGACTGGAACTCCTCCAATGTTGCACTGGACAAGGTTTCTGCGTCCTATTAGTTTTGCTGTCTTCTCCTGTTTTTTTGACAAAGACACGTCATTTTGTGGAACAACACTGTCAATAACATTCGCAATGTGTACCTCAATTTTATTGACATTAACTGTTGAGTCTTTCTTTTTTCGACAACCAACAGCCCAATGTTCACTGCTTCCACATTTAAAACAGTGTGTACATTTTCCTTCTGGGTTTGACTGTTCACATTGACGACATTTTCTGGGGCTCTTTCTGGTAGCACTTGAATAATATGGTTTACTTCTTATGTTTTTGTCTTCAGTTTTCACTTTTGCCTGAGTCAAATTAGCAACTTGTGTTGAAAGATTTTGGATAGCCTCACAAATAACCTTGTTATTAGCTTCCAGCTTTTCCACAATTGGGTTTGGCTTTTCTGTCTGGTTTTTGCTTTTCTTTGAGCTTCCAGTATTTTCATTTTTGCAGTTATCCTCTTCCTGAACTGAAGCCACTTTGATGCTCTTTTGTCTGGTTGAAAGTTTATTCCTTCTTTCGAGTTCAACACTGTAGGCAGCGCTCATTTTCTCAAGCAGCACTTCATCACTAACAGTAGCGTCCTGCAGGTACTGTTTAATGTCCACTCTTACAGCATCATCTTGTAATCCAGTCAGAATAGTTTGCAAAAACTGTGTCTGCACGAGCTCAGGGTTGTATTTAAGTCCAGCTTTGGCTCTATTAGAAGCAGTCAACACTTTTTGTCTAAGGTCCATGGTGCGTATGAGAAACTGAACAGGAGTTTCTCTGGGATCTTGTACTGCACGTGTCAAAGCATGATAGAGTTCTGTTGCATCTTTCTCTATGAAGTGTGTCCTAAGCACTTGCCTAAGAGAGCTCAAGGATAATTCTGACCTACTCTCTAGATAACTTTTTAATTTCACATCAGGTGCAATGGCTTGGATCACTGCTTCAACAATCTCTCCCTCGTCGTATCCTTTTTTTAGTCCTCTTTCCATTTGTCTTTCAAGACTAGTGAAGTTTAGTTTATCTTTTTGTCCCACATCACCAATTTGTCCAATAATCCGAAAATCCTTTCTGTATATTGGATGCAAATTTACTTGGTCTTTGACTTGTGATGACTCTCTTTCAGAACTTGGAGAGCTGCTTGATATATGCGGTGGTAGAACTAAAGGTGTAGTACCGATTTCTACCAGCAGAGGTTGCTCAGCGACCACTTGTTGCTCAGCAGTGGTGCGCTCCGCCGCAGCAGCCGGCACGGCACTCATAGCAGCTTTCTTACTGATGTCTTCTATCAAATCATTAGTGGTCAATAACACGGAGAATCCATTGTCCTCTAAAGACGTGACATCCTCACTTTCCAAGTGAATAAGTATTTTTCTTCTTATTAACCGACATGATTTCACCTCTTCACTCAGCTGCAAGCCTAGTGCTTCACCTAGGGCATTTAGCTCATCCAGTGACAGAGTAACCAGTTTTGTCTCAATATCGGCAAAAAGAGATTCCCACTCACTGTCCATGATGCCTTGTTTTTTTCTTTTAAGGATTCACAGCTTGGAAACACTCATGTCCGTTTCTTCATTGGTTGTTGTCTTTATTTTTAGCTGTAGATGTTGTCTTGTCGGGCTAGCTACATAGCCACTTAGCATAGCCACTTAGCATAGCCACTAGCCCGTCCGTGTTGCTCCGCCGAAAAGTAGTTCCTCTTCAAAAAAAAAAATTTACTTCTCATTTCAGAAGAAAAAATTATGCTGAACCGGGCGGAAACACCAAAATTTATGTTGCACCCTTAAAAAGAACTAAGAAAAGCACATAGTTTTTCCCTTTTGTGCAACTTTATTAAACTAAATCCACGGTTCAAGCATACAGCATATATAGTTTTTTTCCTCCTTTTTAACATATACACAGATCATGAACTTTCTTCTTCCCATCATGCATCGTGTCCTCTTAAAGGGGTATTGTAATTACAGAAATATATGAAATACAAATAAAAAATAAAAGAAAGTAGTTTGAGCACATATTTTGTCATAAACCAAATGAATTTTACTAACTCAATAATGAATCAAATAAATGCTTGCCCAATATGATAATTTTAACTTTATTATGTTCTACACTATTCTATTTCTAGGGCTCTACACATGTGCATCTAAAAAGGATTTAAAACTATTTTGGATTTTGCATTTATCAGCAGATTAATTGTCTGAATTTATTTATGCAACACAATTTCATATATCAACACATTTTCAGTTTCTGCAGTTCTAATAGATTTACATTGAATCAGAGCTTTATAATAGTTTTTAGATCCAAAAGGCTTTTAATATTTTCTGTCAACGCATATGTGCCAGATGTGAATAAAACAGCATTATAAATAAATGTTTATTCTGTAGTGTTTGTGATGACAATGTCTTGTTTAAATCGATGTGATCTAGTTCAGAATATTGTCTTTATATGGCTTTCTTTCTGTTTTCTGTTTTTTCATTGTAATAATGTAGAAATTACTCTGGATTTTATTTTTTGTTGGTTTGATTGTTAAGGCTGTTACTGTATTCTATAATTATCCAGCTATATCTGTTTTATAAATCATATATTAGCATTATAAACCATGAATGAAAAAAAGATTATTTTAATTTCACTTTATGATCCTATTTAGATTTATAGAATCAGTTTATTTTAAATTAATTTAAAAACATTTTAATATTAATAGATTTTTCTTTTTCTGCTCTTATAAGGCAATTGAAAATATATTCTTAGATTATGTTGTAACAAAATCATTTCATTTAATTGCTTTTTTATTGTTTATTTCATTTTCATTTATTTTGTCCAATAAATAATACAGTAATCTGTTATTAGAAATTTTTATAGTAAACTCGTTTACGTAATTCATATTATTAAAACTATTCTGTGATTGTTCTTTTGTTAACTGGTGTCTCAACTTTAATTAAAACAAAATTTGATTTCAAATAAAGGTTAAAAAAAAGAAAGAACTGAATGACAAATTGGCTATTATTTTCGTTTAATTTTAGCAATGAGACATTTATATCATGACAAAGTTAGTCATTAGTTCTTTAAGTCAATTTAAAAGTACCTTTTTATTTTTTGATGGTATTGCTGCGTTTGTCATTGTTTTGAGCGTGCGTTTTACATCTATTACGGTAACCTGTCTACCTTCGCCTTTACTTTGGTAATTACGGTCCCGCCGCGGCCCACGTGACCGGAAGAGGATCCTCTCGCTACGCTGCTGTTTTCAGACCAGAACTCCCCGAAGGAAAAAAAGCAGCGGCAGGTTATAGAAACCAGAGCCCGGCTGCAGCGAGAGGAGGGCCGGCGGGGTGGCCGGAGCGGAGGCTGAAACATGGGCCTCCTGGCGAGGCTGCGGAAAGAGTGGTTCATCATCGGGATAGTGCTGGTCATCCTGTCGGCCAAACTGCAGCCCAGTGTCGGTGTTAAAGGAGGTGAGGCTCCGACTTAAGACATTAGAACTTTGGGATAAGTCTGCAGTTTTTAACTTTAGATATTAAAAACTTTGAAAGAACTAAGAGCTGAATGTAAAATGAATTAACTCGGAGATACTCGGGGTTGTTTCCTCGTATCTAGGATCATAGTGACACGTTGCATTCAGCAGGAGTGTCAACACACCTGAAAAAAAAAACAACTACTGGCTTTAAAATAGAAAATCCTCCAAAGGTACTCAAAGTTAATCTGAAGAGAGTTTTTTTATTTATTGTGCCACAGGGATTATCTCAGCAACAATAAAACAGCCTGATAAGGATCCTAATCTGTAGTTTAGCTTCACCTGTAGATAAAATAACCTGCTGCTGTGTTGCCTTCAGGTGCTCATCGAAAATCCTGATTTTGATCTAATAAAGTATTTATGTTCACACTTTCCAACCGTTGATGCCTGTCGCAATCTCATAAAGATTAATTAATAATAAAAAACATTATCTGAGATTTTTATTATACATTAATTAGCATGTAAAATCAAAAATATTATATTATTTACATGTTGAAAATATTTTGCTCAGACAAATGATAAAGAAAGGAGCCTTATTATAACAAGAAAGAAATATTAAAAATAGTTTTTCGTTTTTTTCTATAAATAAATCTTAGAACTTTGTAGTGAAATGTATTGAACATCTCTTTTTCCTGATTCCTTTAAATAAAATCCACATAAAACAATAAATTGTGCCCATCTTTGGAAAGCTGTTTAGAAATAATGGCTCTAAAAGTCTACAGATTGTTAAAGAGATGAAAATCAGCTCTATGTCTGCTAGGTTTATTAAAGCGCTCTATCTAAAATGGTTTGTGTGAAAACAGATTATAGTCCAGGATGTGGGATCAGCTGAGCTGCATTTATGAGGACCCACTCTCCACATAACCAGTTATCTGACATTGTTGTTCAAGTTTTTAGAGGGAAAAAGCTGCTTTGTAATGCTTTTTACATAGTAGCTCCTATATAATCTTATTTTATGTTAATCTAAGGGCCTATTTTAGCCTTATAGTTCAGGTTGATCAGAGGTTACTTATATCCTTACTAGTATGAACTAGTCAACGTTTTTCTTCCTTTCAGGTCCATTAAAGCCAGAGATAACCATTGCTTACTTCGCCGTTTCCCTCATCTTCTTCAACAGCGGCCTGTCTCTGAAAACAGAGGTGAGAACCAGCGGTGATGCCTTCAGGTGCGGCTCAGACGCCTCCCCCCCATGTCTAACTCTCTTTCTCTCTCTCTCTGCATGTCTGCGTTAGGAGCTGAGGAGCGCGCTGCTTCATGTCCGCCTCCACCTCTTCGTCCAGTCCTTCACGCTGGTCTTCTTCCCTCTGGCCATCTGGCTGCTGCTCCAGTTCCTGGCGCTGACCGCCATCGACCAGTGGCTGCTCAAAGGGTACAGTGTGTTTGTGAATGCTGCTCCCTGTTGGGCTCTGATCCTAACTGTACCTGAGGATCCCACACAAAGAGCCACAGTAACGGTCCTTACAGTGGGCCCTCTGTGTGTCTGGTTGTTGTTTTAGGAGCCAGAATGTAGAGGTGAGGGCCAAACCTTCAGCATCACGTTTAGGTTGAAGCTCAGTGGGTTTTCTTTGGGGCCTCAGTGGTGAAACGGTCAGTCTGATGCTGCAGTTTTAAGATGGATTTCTTGTTTTTCCACCATCTTCTTCAGAGATTACTAAAGAGATGATAAAACAGATCCACAGCAACCTTTGGGCTCAATTAGATTGGATGCAGAACAACTCTGAACATGAAATTCATTCTTCCCTTAGCTGCTATGTTGAGTTTTGTTCGGACCTTTGAGTCGTTACACCGAGGCTTTAAGTTTAGGTGAATCTGTCTCATGGCTCCTTCAAGGGCTGGCCCGTATTTACGTCCATCAATGTATTCTTTTAACTTTAAGGTAAATAATCTCCACAACATGATGCTGCTTCTGCCATTTTCCAATGTAGTTTTTTTTTGTCTGAAGGGTTATTTCGTCCGATCTGAGCACAGCGCTTTCTCTAAATACATGATACATGGCTCAAGGAAAATTACAAATTAAGTCTCTTATGCTGGTGTCAATTATTTTATCAGTGATCAATAATCAATATGGTTTAAGAATATAATCTCAGGTTTATTCCTACCATATCTGATTAGTCTTTTTTTTGTGTTTCATCATAAAAAAGACAATTTACATACATCACTTTCAAAAACTAGCTTCTATTTTAATTATCCCCTTTCTGAGCTGACTTTCTTGACAACTAGCAATAAAAATATAACGCGTTAAGTATTTGCAGCTATTGGTTTTACACAGTAAGCTAGTTTATCAGTTAAATGTACACATCCAAGAACAAATGAATGAACAGATGTCGCTCTGAGCCATGGAAGCGCCGTATGTACACTGATATATATATATATAGGTTTGGGCAAACTTATTAATCTTAATTACTTTTTTTTCCTAAATATCAGAATCAGACATACTTTAATAATCCCAGAGGGAAATTACTTGTGTTGCAAGCTCCAGATATACAAACATTTATTTATATATATATATATATATATATATATATATATATATATATATATATATATATATATATATATATATATATATATAAAGGTTTGGGCAACCTTATTAATCTTAATTTTTTTTATTTTAATTTTTCAGAAATAAGGAATAAGATACATCTTTTAAGTTAACAACAGTAGAAGTCTGGTTGTTTTCTACTTCAGAGTTTCAGCACCTGAATGCAGCTTTCATTAGGAGGAACTAACAGTCTCCATTTTCACCAGCATCATACTGAGAACCTTCAGCTCTTTAGCAGATGATCCTCTTTGTTCCTCTTCCTGTTCCTCAGTTCACCCTCCTCGTCCTTTCGTTGTTGCCTAGGTTACAGACGGTGAGCTGCATGCCCCCTCCGGTGTCGTCCGCCGTTATTCTCACCAAAGCCGTCGGAGGCAACGAGGTGACCCTCACGGTTTGACCCCAGAGATGAGCGCTGGGTGAGTCTGCCTGTCGCTTCCCCCCGCCTCCCCTCTGCTGACTGATTGCTCTCTGTGTCTCCAGGCCGCTGCCATCTTCAACTCTGCGTTCGGGAGCTTCCTGGTGAGGAAAGGATGTGCTGTGGGTGGGGCCGGCAGCCTCAGCAGACAAGGTTTAACGGTTTCTGTTCTTTGCTGCAGGGGATCGTGGTGACCCCGCTGCTGCTGCTGCTCTTTGTAAGTCACACAGGAAGAAGGTGTTCTGGCTCTGTGTACACAGCTGATGGAGAATTTATTTATTGCAGGCAAATTATGATTTTTAAAGTGGTCTTTTTAGAATTGCAATAGAGTTTCTCTCTTTTTTAAATCACGGCATTATCCTTTGCATTTATCCTTAATTTTATTAAACCCAGCAAGTTCTTAAATCCAGCTCTTCCTGCTGAAAATAATTAACAATTTTCCGTAGGTTTTTATCCAGCTCAGCCTAAACGAGTTAATAATGAGTTTAATTTGCAAAGTTTTGGATCTGCGATAACTCAAGGAAAATCAGCCTTTTTTTTATTATTTGATTTAAATATTTGGATAAATCTAGGGGTGTCCCGATGCAACTTGTTCATTTGTGATACAATAACAATATTAGGGCTTTAATTATAGATTGATCTTAACAAGATGGGATATCAACAACTGTCAACAGCAATAGAAATGAGAACAGTTGAAACATCAGTTTTCTTTTAGATGCAGGTTAAAATAGTCCAGTTTTTGTACCTCGGCTGACATCAGATCAGGACGTCTCTAGATGCATATTTCTTTGGGGGAGGGAAAGAAAAACAAATATGAATTTTCGTAATAAAATAAATGTCTTTTTTTTTGCCAATCAGAGCAATGGGTTTAGAGCTTCACTGAAACCAAACAGATTTGTCTGTGTAATAAATTGAATTTTTAAGATCTTATAAGATTCATTATCCCATTTAGTTTGCTTCTATTCACAGCAAATGTTTTTTCGAGGCGCCTTATAAAATAAAAAAAAATAAAAAAAACTAGTTTAAATATATATTAACCTCTTTTAGATGAAAAAGAACCATTATTACTGTAAACCCAAGGTTAGGCTCAGGTGTCTTAAGCAGTCAGGTGGATGCAGGCATGCAGGTAATGGATGCGATCGCGGTTTAAAAGGAAACAGAAATAATACAAAACTCAATATAAAATAACATTTGCATGTATTAACTGAACGTTAATTCTGTCTCAGTTAAACAAATATTTTAGATTTAAAGGAAAATATTTTTCTATATTTTCAAAACAAAACATTTTAAGCAGCCAAAATATCTTTTTTTCTAAATCAGACAATTTAAATCTTTGTTTCACCTTTAATTCATCATTCATCACCTAGGGCCCTATAAAATCCCTTTTATTTTTTTCCAAATTCCATTTTTTTCCCCCATTTTAATTTTTGAAAATTCCGTTTTTCCGTTTTATATATGTATTTTTGCGTTTCCAATCAATGGAATGTTGACAAAACTTGCAAAACAACAGTTCACCTGACACGTAAAAGTCACGAGGGCACTGCTCGGCCCTGTACTCAGGGCTTAGCGTCGTGTTTCTCAACTTTTTCGCCCAAAGCGGAGCTGTGGAGAGCCGCTTCGCCATTTTTTCAATGTTTTGATGGGGGAGGGTGAGCGGAAATGACGGAGAGGGAGGGGATGTGTCGCCCAGATTTGCGTCCCCCCAGTGTGCATTTCCCCCCGACATACGTTCTTCTCCCACACAAAAACAGAATTTCATTTCAAATATAGAAATTCCGCGTTTACACTAGATTCCGCATTAATTTGCCAAATCCGCGATTCCGTGATCGCAGAAATTATAGGGCCCTAATCACCTGCCATTTTTCTAGGTTTCATATCTTTAAACCTTATTAGAGCGTCCTGTTCGCTATCGCTAGTCAGACTTTATTGGCTGGAGTCTGTTCATCATCCTGACCGGATGGTTTTATCTCCCCTGCCTTTTGAAACCTCTCTCCGTCTCATGCGGTGGTAGATCACCCCTCCAAGTGATCCCTCAGATCTCTGTCAGTCTCCATTGTTCATCACAAAGAACAAGGTTTGCAAACCAGAACCTGATCCCTGTTAATGTAGAAGGAGCTTAAGGAGCTGCTCATCAGCTTTAACTTTTAAATGAATTAAACTAACTTGCAGATCTTTTAGTTGATGACAGATTTACATCTCATCCATTATAAAACCAAACAATCCTCCAGTTTTCTGGAGCGCTGGTCGTGTTTGTGGATCATAATGATCCATGAGGTCATTCCCAGCACTTTTTCTACCTACATTATGATTAAATCTGTCGATGAAGAAGCAGGTAGAGTTTTAAAACTAGATGTTACCTCCTTGTCTAAGCTCTTCTTTCCCTTCTGGAGAAATCTCAGCTTGCCATCCTCTCCTCCTGCAGCTCGGATCTTCCTCCTCAGTTCCCTTCACCTCCATCTTCTCTCAGCTCTTCATGACCGTTGTGGTCCCCCTGATCCTGGGTCAGGTAGGAAGACGTTTGACGCCGCCCTCCTCTCTTCTCCCCCCCCCCCAGTGGGCTCTTTGTTCTCGCTAACGTCTTCGTCTCTACACACAGGTGTGTCGCAGTTTCCTCAGGGCGTTCCTGGACCGAAGAAAGCCTCCGTTTGGCGCCATCAGCAGCGCCGTCCTCCTCATGATCATCTACACCACGTTCTGCGACACCTTCAGCAACCCCAACATCGAGCTGGACCCCACCAGCCTGCTGCTGGTCGTCCTCATCAGTCAGTATTCAGAAGCTGCTGATTACGCCTTTAAATTAACGGCTCCTTTTGACGTGATGTCTTCCTCTAATGATGACAGCCCTGTTAAGGATGATTTTAAAAGCTTCAAAATCAATTTATCTTTTATCGCAGCAGCATGATCTCATCTAAAAAATCCAAATATTTCAAAAAAAATCAATCTTTCTGCATCCGTGGGGAAAACAATCAGACAAGAATACATTTTTGTAAAATCATCATTATCACGTTGAATATTTAAATCTAATGATTCTTGTTAAATCAAAGTATTTTTAAAGATTTACTCTGAATCTTTAGGTACTTGACATCAGCTATAATAATGGCGGGACGCAGAGCCACTCTGAAAAATGGGAAATAAAAAGGACTACTAGATTCAGGTGAAGAAAATGTTTGAGTGAATAATCCAAGAAATTAAGAATGCACCAAATTAGGAAATTATCTGATTGTAATTTTATTGAATCCAGTCCTTGTTTTCTTCTCTCCAGTGTGCATCAGGTGATTATCCACGCAAACTGTACCCCATTTACTCTACCCTTGAAAAACCGATCCGTGCCGATACCGGTCCAAGCTCGGATCAGTTAACCAGGCCAAGTTCGGTTCTGACCGTTTACACATCACCCTATCTCAGTTCCTCGACTCCTCGCCTCCTAGTGACGATCTGCGGTATTACTGCCAGTATTGAAGGAGGAAATCAAGCAGTTGGTGGCGGTAATGCACCAAAAGTTGTTTGCCAACCGCCATAAAACACAAGAAGAAGAAGACGACGAAGGAGGGAATCAAGCAAATCAAAATGGCGGCGCCCGTCACATTCAGAAAGTTATGCATGATTATTATTGCTGTACTTCGGTGTTATTATTTAAAATGTTGTGTGGACAAGATTTCGATTGCTGTTTATAGTTGTTCGTCTTCTTCTGTTTTGTGTTGGTTGGCAAGCAACTTCCAGAGGGGCATTACCGCCAACTACTGGAATGGAGTGTGAATCGCGATGTGCAGCCAGACGGAGACGACGCAATCTGCTCATGCGCTCTTGAACCGAGCCAAGCCCACCTCTGGAACTGGTCTGCAGTTATCTCGGTTTGGTTGTGTCTAGCTCGGTTCAGTTCAGTTTGCTTTCCATTTACACACGATAAGTTATCTCAGTTACTGAGCTCGGACCGGTCTCGGCACGGTTTTTCTAGGGTAGTGTAAATGGGGTAATAAGATTAGGTGTTTCTGCAAATCTGCTTTGTTGTCTAGGCGACGCTTCCTGAAGGACCTGCTGTTTTTGGGAGACCATGGCTTTGTCCGAATGTCCGCCCTGACCTATATATAGGGCACTGTATAGTGCAGGGGGAACTAGATAAAAACCATCGGGGTCCAATTAAAGAAAACCAACAACCAGTAAAGGTCCGGAGACATTTTTGATTATAATCCGTTGCATTAAGCAGCATTTAACACTGAAATAAAATGAGGTGTTTATGCATCCATGTTACACGTTTAAATAAAAACTATAAAAAAAATAGAACGTTTTTTCATTTTAAAATCTGAATTGTTTTTGAAGTAGAGAACAACAATCTCTCAGTTTGGTATATAGACAATTTCCTGACACATTTTTCAAAAAACACCTGAACTGACTATGTCCCGGAATGCTTTGCGCAGAGATCTCTCCTCACAAAGCATCATGACTAACAAGGAGCAAAAAGTAGTGGTCATCTGTTTGAACGGTCCGTTAACTGAGTTCACTATAAAGTCCCCCCTCTATATAGTGATTGAGGGATTTAGGGATTAGAGCGAAGGTTCAGCTGCAGTCAAAGATTGCTTTGTGAGGGCTCTCTTTACAAAGCCTTATGGAATTTGTTGTGGCAGTGACTAAAAGCAAAGATGGCGCAGGCACCATACAGCGAGGCGGAGTCACATGACCAAAGGGGAGCGAAAAGCTGTGCTCATCAGTCCAAACAGTCAGTTAACTGAGTCCACTATATAGTCCCCCCTCTATATAGTGATTGAGGGTCTCTAGGGGTTAGGACGGACTTTCAGACACAGCCTATTTTATCATCATTTTTGGAACCTTGTTCTAAATTGGCAACTTTGGAAACGTAATACGGCAGCTTTACGTTTCAATTTGCACAGAGGAACCGCATCCCTGTTTTCTTTTAAGCAATGATGTCATATCTCCGCCCCCACCTAACCCCCATGATCCTCTTTGCTGCCCTGTGTTTGTGTCTACTGTTTTGTAGCAGTGCCACAGCACCACCAAGGGGCCCGGCATAGGTACTACAGCTTCTCTAGGTGTGCTGTGTGCATATATGCGGACGCTGGTTTTTTTCCTTTTATGAAAACATGCTATGTCCTGCTTCATGTGGCCGTAGCATACCAATGCTGGCAGTTCAAGCTGGAAATGTGTTAAATCGCTAATGTAATCATTTTCTTTCTTTTTTTTTTATAGCATTTTTGTTACAAACATAAACAACAAATACAGGGGAGAGGAAAAAAATCCCCTCAACAAACCCAGTAGGGAGAAACATAAACTTTATGCAAAAGAACAAATCCAACTCTCAAAAGGATGAAAAACATATAAAAGATGTTAAAACTGCAAATGACCTCATCGTCACCTTACAGCCACTTTCCTAGTTCAAAATGAGAAAACTGACGTTTTAAGGACTCGGTAGAAAAGATCATACTGGTCTTCAGAAATTCATTCATTAGTGGTTGAGGACATGAGTCGTTTTCTCTGAGAAACAAATTGAAGATAACTGAGGGATCCAGAGGCAAATGTAGGACAAATCGATTAGATTAGATTAGATTAGATTAGATTCAACTTTATTGTCATTACACATGTACAGGTATAAGGCAACGAAATGCAGTTTATGTCTAACCAGAAGTGCAAAAGCAGCAAGTGCAGGATAAATAATGGTTCCATGTCAGAAATCCGTAAACCAATATCCAAAAGCTCATAGCGGGTGTACGATGTAAGGGCACAGCTGCTCTGCACGAACAGACCCGAAATGAGCAAGAAAATCACCGCAAATTTGCACAATCTGGAGAGACCGTTAGCCTCGCGATGTACCCGCGCCGCCATCTTGGTCAGGCTAGGACATTAGCTGTCCCCCACATGTTTAAATGTGCTTTGTAAATAATTTAGTTTGATCTAATTTCCACCTTTTATCTTTGCTCTAAATGACCTGACTCCTGCTTATAGAGATGTTATATTCGTTTCTTCAACCGTCTATATTTCTCAGCTTTAAAGTTCTAATAAATAAAAATGAAAAGGCTACGCTAAGCTAACATGAGCCCAAACCATTTTTGCCATGTAAGAAAAAAGACTTTCTGACCCAACAGTATTTATTCAGTGTTTTTATAAAGATCGTACCTCACTCCTGTTTCTGTTATTGCTCTCTCAGTCACTTTTTACATAACTTGGTTGTTTTAGTTGCCAATTTTTGGTGATTTTATGGTCTGTGACTGCAGATTCTATTAAATACTAGAAAACCATGGACAGTGGCTATGTAGAAGCTCTTAAATTAACTGAAACATAGGCCTAATTATTATCATTGTATTTGTCCAGACAAATACACCTTTAGTGGCACCAGAAATTTAAAAATGCCATGGAAAGTGAAGAAAACAGGGAGTCTAATCAATTGTCACCATGACTGTTCTGCTAAAGAGGCTTTGGTTAATGTTTAGCCACCATCTATCTGTTATTCTCTTCCATCACTTCCATGTCCCACCACCTTCTGTGAGGTTTAGAGCTTCGGTCACTAAGTCCTGCATCAGGTGGTCGGCACTGAGGGCAGTGCAGGTCTTTCCTTCTGGGTTAATGAGACACTAACCTGCAGATGTTGATGCATGGCGCCTAAAATATATCAACTTAACAAAGAACTGAATCATTTCAAGCAATTCTTTCATTGGATTAGATCCACTGTTTAGCTTCTACTTGAATTAATTAGAAGAAAATATCCTTAATACGTTTTATTTATACATTAAGAGCAATGGTTGAACATTTAACCTCTGCTGTAAGTAGCAGGGTAAGGAAAGTAGAGGAGAAAACCTCTAAAGGTCGAGGATGAGCTGGAATGAAGCACTTTAAGGCCACAGACCCTCCATTGTGTGTTCGGAACACATGCATTAAAGAAGAAAAGGCTTCTATGTCCGACCATAAAAACAGTAACATAGCTGATTTAAGTAGACCAATGTGCTCCGGTGGGAGGAGGCTGTGATTCAGTTCAGTTCAATAATACTTTCTTAATCAGGTGGAGCTTCACGGCAACAAACATCCCTGCTGTGCATGGAGAAAAAAAAGAATCAGAATGTGAAAAATTTCCTAAGTTCAACTCTTGGGTGCAGTAGAGGATGCATGTTGCTTTGGGCCTGTTCTTTTTTTTTTTTTCCTCTAAAGGTTCTGGCAACCTTATCGAGCTGCATGGCACGATCTCTAAAACCTTTAAACTCCAGCAGGGAACTGAAAACGTGTTGTCTCTCCAGGACATTGATCCAAATACAGTATGAAACACACGACCAAATCAACAACGAAAGGCAAAACCTGCCTTGTTCTAAAGGCGTCTCAGACCGAAGGCGAAAATAAACGCTGTGGACTGAGCTGAAGAGAGACCCCGGGACTTTCAGGAGGTGGTTGTTCAAGGTAGAACAGTTATTTTCTACACATAAGGTTTGATCTTTAAAACATTTTTTAGTTTGGATTCATGCTTCTGCTTTAGATTGATGAATTTATTTTGGGGCTTTTTAAATATCTTTCCCAGGGATGCAAATAATATTGTAGTTTCTGTGTATCTGTCTAGTCTATAATAGAATTATAACAAAGGCATCTGTTTTATTAATAGAGATTCTCTTCTTTAAAATAAAAAAAAAAATCCAGATTTTCTCTGTGGTTTATCTGAAACCAAAAACTGCAGCTGAAAAGTCTTTATTCTGTCCTCTGCAGTTTTCTCCATCCAGGTCAGCTTCATGCTGCTGACGTTCGCCTTTTCCACCAGGTCAGCCTCGTCTTTCCTCTCTTCTGCACCGCCTCTAAAGTTGTTAATCATTACGATCAGAATCAAGTCAGATGATAATTAGCTCAATGGCCACTGTCTGGACTCCCAGACTCTCCTTTTATCTGCTTTGCATACTTTTATTTATTGTTTAATTTATTTTTTAGGAAGTAATTAAACATTATGTTTGGTTACGTGAAGCTTTTTTTCAGCCTTTTAGGGGAGGTTTTTTTAAATAATTTGCATAAAAAAATTAAACCAGAATCTGTATTTATTGTAACAAAGAAACGGCCAGACCAGAGAGCTTCAAAGTGTTTTCATTTCAGGAAACTGACTGCTTGTAAGGAAAATATTAAGAGTTTTAAAAAGAGTTTTTCATTATTTTAATGACCGCATTGCTCCAGCAGGGGGAGCCGAGGAGCTCTAAGCTTTTTCTGTAACTCTGCTTCCCTTCAGGTCGGGATCAGGATTCAGTCCAGCCGACACGGTCGCCATCATATTCTGCTCCACTCACAAGTCTCTGACTCTGGGTACGACTTTCAAACAGACTCGCATCCGTTAAACACCTGCAGGTTATTTATAGCCCTGCTAAGAAATAGTTTAACTAGTTTAACCTGCTTATCTGATGATTTGTGTGTTTATATGTTGTAATATGGGTTGTTTATTTATTTTTTTTATAAAATCCAACAGTACAACAGCAACACGTGTTTTCTTTCCCTCCAGGTATTCCCATGCTGAAGATCGTTTTCGAAGGCTACGAGCACCTGTCTCTGATCTCGGTCCCGCTGCTCATCTACCACCCGGCTCAGATCCTGCTGGGCTCCATCCTCGTTCCGACGATCCGCAGCTGGATGATGAGCCGGCAGAAGGTAACCCAACAATCGGTGTAGCCCAGACACTCTGGAGGCTGATGGGAGCTGAGAGTTCAGGCCATGGCGGCAGTGTTCCAGTACTAACCTCCTGACCTTCTGTCCTCTCTGACAGTCTAGTCTGTTGTTGAGATAGGGCCGCATTCCAACACCTCTGTAGGCGCTGAGTGAGTAGAGACTGATGGCAAACGGCTAATCTTTACCTTTCACTTCCTCTCAGAGTAATTGTTCCTGATTGATTTTAATTTTCAGATGATTTTTGATGATCCCTGTGTGTCCTCAGCAGGCCGGCAGCCATCTTATACTCCCTTTAGTCAGCAGATGGCGCCATTTTCCCAAGCTTAACCTTACAGCTGTTAACCTGCCTAAAAAAACGCAACATTTTCAATGTAGATACTAAAATTATGCTTAACTTTTTCAGGTTTAACTGCTTTAACAGAATAATCTTTAATAAATCACCATGTGAGAAAAATTTACAGTGTTTTTGCAACAAAAGCAACAAAAATGCAGCGATGAGAAAATAAAATGCAAAAAGAAGGAAGGGTAACAAAAAAGACTTAAAGATTTAAGAAATGAAAAAAGAAATCCGAGTTTATGATTAAAAGCAAAAGTATCTGGAGACTGAAGAATATGTTTTAAACTGTTCTAGGGTTAATTTATTTAGGTTTTTGACCAATGTGAGTTTTACACTGAAGTCTAAAAGTATTTTCTTCCCTATAGATTTCTTCTGCTTTGTGTTTTTTTTTTTTTTATGTCTCAGATCATCAAAGAAATCTCAATTTAAGAGTAGGAGAATGTGACTAATTAAAGAAACAAAAAAAAAAACCTTCAGAGCTTTAGATGTAGATCTTGGTTCTTCTCTGACCTCCTAGCTGAGTCGTCGGTGTGTTTAGTAGTTTTGGAACGGTCTGCATTGTTCCATCTTTTCTGCTTTTGTTGATAAAGAATAAAACTTCGGTTCACTGAAGTTCCCAAGTCTTAGCAACCACTTAGCAACCCCTTTTAGACTGATAGATGTCAGTAAAAATAATTTATTAATCCATTCTTTGAGGCAGTAATCAGGCCTGGGTTTGCTTTAACCTAAAACATGTGGACAGTGACTGAAACATTTAGCAAAGGAGGTCTAACAAATAAAGTAGAATCATTAAACATATAGTAGCAGATGGTTATCATTGTCTGAGATTAAAAAATATATATATGATCTGGAATACTTATGTGTGACAAAAAAGCAATAATAGAAAAACTTTTAAAGAAGACTTCTTTCTTTTTTCTTAGAGGCACAAAGTTATACCTGAACACTTTATTCCTGAAGCTGTAAGGTGTGGGAGCTCCCCCTGCTGGTAGCAACACAGATTTCACCTGCTGGGGTCACTGCTGCCTTTCTTCAGCAGCTTCACTGATTGCGATGCTGTGGTGTTGCTCTGTTTGGTGGTGGGATTTTTCACTTGTCGCTCTTTGCACCTCTGCTTCACTTCTTTCTCCTTTTTATCAAAATATGGGAATAAAATGCAATCCTGTCTTGGTTTGAAGTCCTCTAACTTTTATGGTGTGTTCAGACCGGATGCGGTGTCCGCGGCGAGTGCGGTGGATTCAGTTAGAATTCCTGTAGCTTACAAACCGTGTGGGGAATTGCCGAGGCGATCATCCTCACTTACCTCCAGCACAGAGCCCGGTCCGTCGCTGCACACTGCCCAGCATCAGTGCTTTCTACTGGTATAGATACAAGGAAGTCCCGCTGAATTCGACGTTTATCCAGACGCAGCTCTGGATGAACCAAAGTGGGCAATTTTTTTCAGAGCTTTTGGGGCTTTTCCTAAAATGTATGGTCTCCTCAAGCGATTTAAACGTTTTTTATAAGAAACAATTTAGCATAAGTCCATTATGTTAAGTTTCACCTGTGCTTTTATTGTGAAATGCTGACAGACAGCAAGACCTGGACAGGAAATGACATGGGGTTGCCAGGGGCAACGGCAGGTCCAAAGCAAAGGTTCTGGGAGGTTGGTTATTGACTAAATATTGAACAATCATTCCAGCCACTAAATAAGGTAAACATGCCCACTTTTATATTCATTACCAGCACAAGAGTGACATGTGATGTTATGCAATAAGTTTATGTCAGTTAATGAGCGCAGTGATAATTTAAAATATTATATATTTTTTATATATTAGGGATGGAGTGGTTTAGGAAAACCGTCCAAACCGTTCGGTTCGATTCGCGTGTGTTGCGTTCGGTTCATGCGCTGCTCCTTTTTCTCACAGGCGAAGCCAACCACCAGTAGTAAACAAGAAGAAATGAAGCAGCTTAGCCGGGTGTAGCAGAAAAAAATCAGTTGTTGTGGAGAATTGTGTGGGTATGGCGAGTGGGAAAGAACAGGAGTTGGAAGACGCGCCAGCAGCACTTTATAGGTCTGCTGTATGGGACCGCTTTGCATTTAGAGTGACCTACAATGACGGCGGAAAGAGTGTTGTGGATAAAAGTGCAACAGTTTGCAAGCATTGTGCAACACGTTTTGTTTATGCTAACAGCAACATGACCAACGTGTCATGCTAACCTCAGTTTTTAGGGGAATAGTGGCTCGTTTTTTTTTGACAGTAGGCTGACAGGAAAGGGGGTATGAGACATGCGGCAAAGGACCAGAGGCCAGATCCGAACCCGGGTCGGCCGCGTTGAGGACTAAGGCCTCCGTACATTGGTCGTGTGCGCTAAACCCTGCGCCACCTGCACGCCCAATTGAAAATAATTATCGCGGTTGAATCTTAAAAAGCAAATCAACACCAACGATAGTTTTACCTGCAGAAATAAAGTAGCACTGAAAAAGTAGGATAGATAATTTAGATTAAATTCGGAGCTTAATGGAGGATAGTTGGCCTCTGGATGATCTAAAAAATGATCTTCAATATTTCTGAAACAACAGCAGAACATATAAGCATTTTTTGATATATATATATTTTTTTATTTTCCAAATGACCATTTTAAATGCACAAACCTGCAATTAGGAAGCAATAACAATTCAGTCTGTTTGCTGGGTTTTTTTCCAGTGGGTTTTCAGCTTCACGCAGCTGAAGCTCCTCTAACCCCAGGCTCTCACCGACTCCGGTCTTACCGTTGCGGTGCGGTGCGTGCGGCGCCGCAGTGATTCCAAGTCATTAAAAAGACGTAAACCTCTCTCACCGGCTGCTGAGCTGTCCGGCTGCGGTTACCGAGGCACTCCGGCGCTGCAGAAAATTCCGCAAGAAAGCTATCCTTGCGGCGTACCGGAGCCCTCCGCAACAAGCTCTCGCAAATATCGCGGCACAAACAGGAAGTTTTCCAATGAGAATAAAAGACTTCCTGTTTTTTTCAAAATAAAACACGTTCGTTTGCATGTATTGTCTGTCTTACTCATAGTAGAAAGTCAAAAAGTCGCCAAAAAATGCGGAGAAGTGTGCTGACACGCGTGAAAAATCCAAATGCGATATTTCTTTACTGGACACTTCCTTGTTTGGGTCGTGTTATCGCGTGAAGTTACGTGAACTCCAGTTCTCGCGGGTCAATCTCCGGACCTGTTGCCGGAGCCGCAGAGCCGCACCGCACCGTAGTCAAAAGGGCGGTGTGAGAGGGGGTGTGCGGGAGTTGCGGTCTCCGTCGGCTCGGTAACCGCACCGGAGTCAGTGTGAGCAAGGGGTTATTTGATGATGCGATCCAGGGTGCAAACACTGTGCATCTGAAATGCAGAGCAGTGATGCACCCTCTACCGCACTCGGTCTGAACGCACCGTTACTGTGCCACCAGAGTAAAGCCGATGGAACAATGTTTGTGTTTGACACTTTTTCTCTCTTTTAGGGGATCAAACTATCCAACCTGCAGCCCGTCTGATGGGGCTTTGAGCGGCGGAGGGATCCAGTTTTTCAAAAAAGTGCCTTTTTACGACCAACAGCAGGGACCTCATCGTGACAGAGCAGGATTCAGTGCTAGCCTTGATAGCCTGTTACTCTTTTCTACAATAACAAAAAAACAACTCACAGTTACATAATTTGTATTATTATATATTTAAATGAAAGGGGTTTTATTTTTTTATACCATGAACAGTTAAAAAAACAATCCCGGGGGAAAAGGAAGTGTTTTGAGGAACCAAATGGGCGGGGTCTCTGGGACCAGTCTTTTTTATTTTAATTTTGTTACTTTGGTTGTTCCAGCTGTTTCTGCCAAAAATTGTAAATGTTTTTGTTTAACATAATGTTGGATTGTAAGATCTAATATAGAAATAACAACGACACTTGGAATCCTGACCCTTATTTTAATAGACTAGAAGCAATGTTGGGTTTTTAAAAGAAACGGGGATGGTTTTGAGATAATCACTGACATTTCTAGATGATAAAACTACAACTCAACTATATCCGATTCACTTCAAAAATATTTATTAATCTCCAAGTTAAAGTGACCAACTGAAAACACTTTATTGTTCAACAGTCTTCTGAGCAGGATGCTCCTGATGGTCCATAATGTTCTTCGTTTTATGAAGTGTTCTTTGTGAAATAATACCCAGAGGTTCTACAGGAGTTCCTAGAAAAGAGCTGGCCTTCTTTATTAGCTTGTACAGCTTCTTTAAGTCATTAGCTCTGATGCTGTTGACCTAGCACATGATGGCAGAGAAGATCACACTCTCCACAACAGACTGATAGAAGATATGAAGCATTTTACTGCAAATGCGGAAGGACCTAGGCTTCCTTAGGAAGTTCAATCTGCTCCGTCCCTTCTTGTTGACGGCTTCACAGTTCTCCAGTCGTTTGCTGTCCAAGTGAACACAAAGGTATTTACTCTCCTCCACCACCTCCACTTCTTCTCCCATGATGCTAATAAACTTGTTCCAGTTTCTTCTAAAATCCACCTTCATCTCCCTTATTTTGCTCATAAAATAAGGGAGATGAAGGTGTTTCCTAGCCTCGTGAGACCATCCTGATCTCGCAAGCTTTCAAGGTTTCACTCCCAGATCAGTCTGGAGACTCTCCGTTAAAGAAAATTAGGAGCAGTTCACCAAACGAAACTCCATTCAGCGTTGGCTTTGAGGCGTGTTGAGGTGTGACGCAACGAGAAGCGCGACCGTTCAGTGTAAAGAACATGGCGGCTTCAGCCAATGAAACTAGCATTAGCGTGGCTATCAAGCAAGTTTTATCAGAATTACAGCGTATTTCTTCACTGAAAGAGGAGCAAAACACTGCTCTGGAGGCTTTTCTCAGAGGAAAAGATGTTTTTGCTCTTCTCCCGACTGGTTTCGGCAAGAGTTTGATCTATCAATTGGCTCCTCTTCGTCGTCGCTCTGTTAGTACGTCATATGCTTCGTTGATCTGATTGGTTTATTTGGCCCGTCTATCACCAACATAGGCCAATCAGCTAACCAGTATTTTTGCCCCTTTCCAAAACTACTTCAGCGGAGGGTTTCCAGATGGATATGCGGAGCAAATCCATCTGGCGGAGTCAGGTTAGGTGTTTCCACACCATTCCACAAAGCGTTTCACCAGCTCTCTGTACTCAGCTTATTGTCCATCTTTGATGCACCCAATGACTGTAGAGTGGGGATGTTTATCTCAACCACTAAGGTTGATTCAATACGCATCTTGATATACTTCTAAAATATAACTGTGATTCAATAAGCCCTGTCAATACGATGCCATAAACATCACTCCTGTTCAGAATTCAGTGCGATTCAAAACTGATTTCATGACGATATGACATAAGAGTTAATGTACATAATTATTTTATATAGTTAGCTGGGGTTTGAGAATTCATTAGCTCAACCCATGAGGTTTCAATAGGGCAACAGAACACAGTATTAATTGTATTTATTTGAATTTTTTTCTAAATCTTCTGTCTCAAAAATGCCTATAGAAATGCAGCTGCAGCTGGAGATGTACCACTTCAAAATCAGAGAAAATGAAAGCAAGATAATCTATTTCCAGGTTGTTTTATGATCTACAGAAGAGAAGCACTTTCACACAAAAAAACCTGCAGAATAGTGCATATTAATAAAGAAATCTTAGCAGTCACTGTGGAAACTAATAAATGAAAAGCCTAATAAAAACAGAGTTAATAAACAGGCTGTTTAAAGCTACATATGAAATGAAACTATGATATTTAATGTGAGTAAAGTAAATACTAGAGGTATAAAATCGTATCAGTTTATCCACTATTAGAATCATCTGCAACACTGAACTGAAATAACTTGAATACGGAAAAGAAAAAGCAAAAGAGACAAATGGCGCTCTGCATGAATAAAAATGAAAAGGTAAAGGTTTTGGATTTCTGAATCATTTTCTGTCGCTGAGAACCTATCGGATAGGATAGGTCCTGTCCTATTAGAGCTAACAAACAGCGACATAGAGCATCAGCTACGGCTGCAAATGGATTCAGATTTCATGGCAATCACAAACCAAAGAGAGCTGCTGTTCTCAGATTGGGTTATTTCTTTATGCACGTCGAGTGGACTTTGATGCACTTAAGAATAAAGGACATTTTACTGAAAAAAAGTCATGCATTAAATAGACATTAGCAGCTATTATTATTCAGCTCTTTAAATTGTGCTCATGCTTTGGGAGTCTTTGGGATTGAAGATGCAGCTAATTTTGCCTCCTTTTATTGACCATATAATCTAACTGGCTAACATATTTGTAATATTCGCCATAGAGGTGAGATATTGTACATTACCTTAAAGTAGCACCCCAATTCAGTTGTGTACATCCCTTTTTAGATTTCATTCAGTGTCAGGCAGCTCAGTCTGATGTCTTTCTCTTATTTGGTGCATACTGATAAAATGTTTTGTTTGTTTTTATTTTTGCCGCATTACATATCTTGTCCACGCTGATATTGCTCCTAGTTCCCTCCATCTTTATTATATAAAAGGTTCCTTGGAAAAAAATACAAGAATATCCGATTTAACTATATTTGCCGGTTCAAAGGGCTTAGAGAAGATGCGCATAAATTCACCCTGAAAATTTAACCTGATATGAATTGAATCTACCAGTACACTTCCATCTAATGTATGCATGTCTGACCTCCGATGTGAATCGGAATCTCCTCGACCCTACTGCAGAGCTATCCAAAGTATTTCTGCTGATATCAGGAGTCTGTTTTATAGTGGAAGTCATAGCTGGACAGGGTAAAAAGAAATGGTGAGAGGACCGTCCCCTGTGGTACTCCGGTTAGTCAGCTGACCTTTCAGTCTAACAAACTAGGCTCTGTTTGTCAGGTTGTCTTTGATCCAGGCGATTCTTTAGGCCTCCACCTGAGTATACCAAAGTTTCTCACAGAGCAAGTCAGGCAGAACTGTGTTATATGCAATGGAGAAATTTAAAGAACATGTTCCTTGCAGTGCTGTCTGCATTGTCTAAAGGGCAGTGGGTTTATTGAAGCAGGTGTATGATGGCATCATAAACTGCAGCGGGTCCTGATAGCTGCGTTTGTTTGGTGAGGTGAACAAATACAGTAGAAGATGTCAGGGCAACAGGTACATAGTATCTGAGGACCGTTGGATGAGTTTTCTCTGGTACTGGAACAAGGCACACATAACTGTAACTGTCTGTAGGGTCAGGCGAAGGGTGAAGAGGAGCTGCCCTTCACCACACGGTTTGCATAAGGATAAAATGTAAATCCACCACCCTCAACAACGTGCTCAGTCTGAATGCATCTTTAGGGCCAACAAGTCAATAATTCATAAATGGAAATTATTTTGAACACCCTGTTTCATAGTTTAACTACACAGAAGACACAGCATTTATGCCGTCACCATAGAGGGTTTGTTTTCAACTACTGGTAAATCAGATCATGCAGGAAAAATACCAACAGCACTAATTGATTTAGACTTAGTTAATGATTTTGGACAGTTGGTATTTTTTGGACTAAACTTTCCGTGTTTTTACTTGTTTCATCACATCATCACATTAAGTTCTAAAGCAATGCAGGCTTTGAGGCAGCAGCACCTGCTGTTTGGTTATCTTCCCTTTTTCTAAATAAAAATGTCCTAATAAGTTTTTCATTTGTACTCTGGGATAAATACATTTGGGAATAAGTCCTTTCATTTACTGGTCAGACAACAAGGTGGCAACAAATCAGATTTGGGAGCTCATTACTTTCACTGGCATGTCATTTATTTAGGACAGATGGTGCCTCTGTCACATTTGGGAGTAATAGTGATAGCACGTATGATATGGAATCGCTCAATTTAAATCATTACTCTCACTTGTAAAGTCTCAGAAAGCAAACTATACATTTATTTAAAAAAAAAAAAAAATTGCTGTCTTTGCATGTTTTAGCAGTTATTGATAATGATTGTGAAAAGGAAAAACAAAGAGCTAATACATTCAGATATACATTTCTTTAAATAGAGTTCCTGCAAAATGCTGAATAGTCTAAATGTTATGCACACAAGAAGGTTTAAAAGTTGATTTGTCCTAGTTTGACACTTTTACACATTGAAATGATCTTAATAATCTGTTATTTTGTATTTGTTTTGTTTTTTTAAGAACAGAAAAAGAATGGCAGACTCAAGGAAATTGTAGATCTTACTCATAATTTTGTCTGAAGTCCCTCATAAAACAATGTAGCACGTTCTACTGATTTATTTCAGTTCAAATTAAAACACTCTCACAATATTAAATACAACTGAGATGTTTCTAAGTACCAGAATACTAAAAATACAATTTCTGTTCTAAAGTCAATCAATACCTATTCACACTCAGGAAGGCGTTTTATTTAATATCACTCTCATTCAACATAGATTTTTAGTTCTGTTCAGAATTGAGACAAAAAACAAAACATCACTGTGAATGGGTTTTCAGTTTTGAAATAAAAAAAATCCTGACATTCAAAAAAAGAAAAAACAGAATGAAAGGTTATTTACACTATTCTCAAAAGTCTTCATGAAGATCTTGCTAAAATTAGATCTAAATATTTGTTGAGCCAAACAAAGTTGCTTATAAAGGAGTAATTTTGTACAGACTATCTATAGCCAGTGTCAGTTTATACAAGCTGCTGATTCAAAGCTAAAGACCAATTTGACCAATCTATCTTGAATCTGAGACTCAACTTTCCTCCTAGAAGATTTTGATTATTACGAAGGTACCAGGGCTGGTACATAAACTCCCTCATCAAATGATATAGAAAGCCAGTTCTTCTGTTAGTTGTTGGAGATCTATCCCAGAAGTAATGCCATGGAGAACCAATTTGTAAGCATAAGCTATCATAGGCAGAAAATGACAGATGTAGCATCTATATTGAAATTTC